AAGAAATCTTGGACCAAAAACCTCTGTTGGTTATATTATTGCGATGACAACCTAACTCAATAAATACTAAATAAATGACTTTAATTAACTGGCAAATACAAACTAACAACTTTCACACTCAGGCATACCGACAAATCAAACTCAGAACAATCAGGCTAAGGGAATGTGCAATTCAATATCTCATCAGACTACTAAAATAAAAATCCAAGAAAAGAAGGAATAAGGCATAAACCTTTTGTTTACCAGTATACATGCAATGCCTACCTGATATTGTTAGACTTGTTTTATTTACTAGTATAGTACTATAACACTAAAATAACATTATTACACACATAATGTATTCCAATGTATGATCAGAAAGCAATGTTTATACTGATGTGCCTTCTGTATATAATTTACTTGAATGAAACTATAATAATCCATTATGTGCATCTCTATTCACACATTCAGGAAATTATGTTTGTGTATTTAAAGTTTACACTAAGCCTTACAAATGTTAAAATTACACTTTTACCTTGATATGGAGGAGAATGTTATTTATTGCATTTTGTTTAAGTTTTTGTATATTCATGTCGCTCCTTAACTCTTCCTTTGTTTTCCCTTTTCTATGTTTCGATCCTTCTCTCTCTCTCTTTCTCTCTCTTTCTTTCATTCACCCTCTCTCTCTATCTTCTTCTTTATGTGTCTCTTTCTCTATCTTCCCTCTCTTTGTTCTATCTTTACAATTCTCTCTCCTCGCACACACGTCTTTTCCTCTCTCTTCATGTCGCCTTTGTGTTTCTTTTTTTACACCTTTTGTTTCTCCTTCCTCTCCCTATCTCCTTCAGCAGTTTTGGATATTTCCTTCTCCATTTGTAATAATAATAGTAATAATGGTGGCTTCTTATATAACGCAAATGTCCGTCACGTTGTGACGCTCCTTATTCACTTATGTTATTTATTTGAATGCCTATTTCTTGATCAATATCTGCGGTCGTTTTGACCATATTCATGATACTCTAATAATGCCTTTTTATTGTCAATGTTTTTAATTTACATCTATTAAGACATTACAATTGTAAACGTTCTTAATGTCACAAGACAGTACCGATTGTTTAAACCAGGAAAAGTTGGTTAGTCTTTATCTTGCTTTTGTTAAGAAATTAATTAACAATTATTCACTCCGGTCTTTGAGTTTGCGCAATTTGACGATAACCTCTGACCAACGCGTGATACTTTTGTTTTGAACTGCATGGTTTATTTTGGGGGCATTACATTGAATCAGTGGTTTTGGTAGCCAGCATCGGTAATTTGCATATCGCGAGAACCGCACCCTGCATTAGGTAGACTGGCACTGGACCAACTATATTGCTACACGACAGACGTGTCCTTGACAATTAATTCGGCCTTGTTCTGCGAGGACAGTATTTGAATAAATCATTTTGAAAAGCACTGGTATACATAAGGGAAATCTGACCACACCAATTATTATTTCATTCAAAACATTGGTCTGTCAGTGCGTAGTCCTCTTACTTGTATTTGTGTAGATATATCTGTATTTACTATGGCATCATGTTTTTTTAACACTCTGATGAATATTTCGAAGTATACAAATCTAAACGAGGGTCATGATTATTATTGGAAAACGAGGTAGAATGTTCTACTGTAAAACGATGGCACACGATACAGTGGATAACGACGTATATAACATAGTAGAAAGGTGTTTTTAAAGACTGTGTTTTATATAATTATGTGAGTATCCATGACTGACTAAATTGGACGATAGGATAAAAGAAGAAAAAAAAATGGATTCGTCTGTTTCATGCAATAACCTTTATACTTTACTACAGAACTAACGCCCTTTCTTCTCTCAACAGATGATTTACTCATGATTGTTGTTTCATTGAATGAATGTTTACTTAACTTTTTCATGAATGTTCAAGTAGCATGCTTAATAATATATTTTACACCATTTAAATGAAAGATACCATATTTAATGTTTTCTTTGAAACATCGCAGACACTTTTATTAATGTTACCTTGTATTGAGTGCATGCGCGGATCCACGGGCCGATTTTACCGGCACGGCCCCCCTCCTAGCCCCCAAAATGGAGGAAAAAAATAGGAAAGTAACTAAAATGTTACCTTTTGTAAAACAAAAAAAAAACAAAAGCGGGCCCCCAGACACCCCTTGATCCCCCCCCCCCAAAAAAAAAACCAACAAAAAATGAATTGACCTCCTCTCCAGCATCCCTCAGTGGAACATTCTACCTCGTTTTCCGGTTTAGTCGGCGCAAATTTTTCCCCTCGGAAACTGGACCAAAACAAAAAAAATACGTGCTCTTACCCCCCCCCCCCCCCCAACCGCTTAATCGCCCTCGCCGGCTGGCTGATTCGCCGCTGAATATTTTCAAAAAATTTGGGCCCCCCCCCCCCATTCATAGATCCATCGCGTTAATCAGATTATCTCAAAAACAACCTGGCACAGGGGGATTTGGGGCTTGGCACAATGCGGATTCGCCCTGTGGCATGATAAGAGTTAATGATGACGATGATGATTATGACATTATACCTATTAACTCACTTATTAATAATTTCCAGCTAGACTGTAAATACTACTTTCTTGATAAATTTTGTTCAATTCAAGACAATCAAACTGATAATATTTGTATTCTTCATTTTAATTTACGTAATTTAAACAAAAACGTTGATGCAATATCTAATTTCATATCTACTATTCCTTTTCAATTTTCTATTCATGTTTTTTCTGAAACTTGGATACACAACGATTCCCCTAATGTTATTTAACTCTGATTGTATTCAAGGTCGAGGCGGTGGAGTTGGTCTTTCTGAAATGTATGATTTTAAATTCCGAACTGACCTATTAATTTATTTTGTTAACTATGAATCTATTTTTATCGACATTTTACAACAGAAATGAAAAAAAAAACATTTTAGTTGTGATTATATAGAAGAAAACCACAATCCAATCGTAGATAATTTACAGAAGAATCTGATAAAAATGAACCGTGAAAACAAGCGTATTTATTTAGTGGATGATTTTAATGTAAATATCATGCAGCATACAAATAATGCAGCTTGTAAATTTGTGAGCGTTACATATGCTAACTCTTTACTACCATTGATTTACAGGCCTACAATAATTACCTCCACAACTTCATCATTAATAGATAATATTGTTTACTAACCATTTTGACTTCGATGTTTCTTCAGGTTTGTTCTATAATGATATTTCTGATCATTTTCCAATAATTAAAATTATTAAACAGAAACTCAACATTCAGTGTGGCTCTTTGCGTAACAACCGGATTATTAAAGAAGAAACTGTTGATTATTTTAAGATGCTGTTATGTAATGTAAACTGGACTGGAATAATTTATTGTTCTAAGACTGAAAAAGCTTATAATACTTTTGTAGATTTGTTTACATCTTTGTATATTAAAAATGAAATAAACCAAGGAAAAAAACAATACATAAGCTTTGGATTACTGGCAATATCTTACGTAAAAACGATAAGAGAAACGGTGTAATGATCGAAAAAAGTTTACTAAGAGAAAAATATAAAAAAGCTAGAAATCGGGTAAACAATGGAATTATTACAGATTTAAGTTTTAAATTGCCTAAGGAATCAAGAAAAAAGAATATGGGACATAATGATGTCCTTTGTAAATCTATAAACAAAAAAATCATTCATATATATATCATTCAATGGACACGATATTTATGATCCTAAAACTATTTGTGATAATTTTAACCAATGTTTCGTAAATATCGGGAATGAAATAAGTAAGTCAATGCCCAACTTAATTGATGATTACGCCAAGTTCTTGCCTACACAATGTACAAATTATTTATACTTGTCAGTTGCAGAGAGCGAAATTATAGAAATTGTAAAGAACTTAAAGGCTACAAATAGTTGTGGAATAGATTATACTAATCCTGAAGTTATTACGAACAATTATTCATTTCATATTAATACCATTATGTTATATTTTCAACTCCTCTTTGTTGTCAGGAATTTCCCTGTCAGGCTGAAATTAGCTAAAGTTGTCGCAATACATAAGAAAAACTATATTCATAACATATCAAATTACTGACCGATATGAATTTTCCCTTTCTTTTCAAAAATTCTAGAAATATTTGTTTACAACATGACGCATGATTCCATTTCTTCCCAGTCACTCTTTACCCCCTGTCAATATGGTTTTACTGAAACAATGCTCATCTGAAATGAATTTAATTGATTTACATGATTATGTCACTCGTTCTCTTGGTAATTTTTGTTATACTCTTGGAGTTTTCGTGGACTTAACAATGGCTTTCGACTCTATTGATTTTGCAATATTATTTGATAAATTAAAGTGCTATACAGTGCGTTCCAGAAAAAACGAAACCGAGAATTATCGATGTTTTATCATAACTTAATCACAATTATAATTGATAAATGGCACATATTTGAAAAAGCGTAGATCCTCTTCTTTCATTTGATGCAACTCATATAGTGCATATTTTATGCATGAGTGATTAAAATAGGTTTGAAGAGAGGAAACCAAAAAGTCATTTGGCGGGCAGTATCTGAATTTCAAAGAGAAAATCACATTTTTAGAAAGTTTGGTTTCTGCCCTTTCATATGACACCTCAATCAGGGAAAACGAGCAAGGTATGTCAAAGTTCTGTTTGTTTAAAGTAATGCTTGCATTTCCATTATTTAATCAAACGAATTCGTAGTAGCAAACAGAGTTGACAAAAGACTTAACTCCGTTTCGTTGACAATTAACCGTAAATGAAAGACTTCAAAAGGGCCACCGGTTTGACCTATATGGGGACCTTTGGTAGTGATTTTTGTAAAGTGATTTTTGTATATAAATGAATAAACTTAATGGAGAATTGAATTGAGATTGAATGACGTAATCCGAACATGATTTCTATGGGGGCCTTTGGTAGTGATTTAGGAATCGAGAGGTCTGCGGTGAAGGTTAAATTTCTCTTCGCCGGGCAACCGATATGTCTATAGGGAATTTTTGGTAGTGATTTAATTGGTTGCAGATCTGCGGCAGAAGTAGGGTTTCTTGTCTCCGCAGTCGCAGTCGTTCCACTCCTGCCTGTCATAGTCATTGCTACCTTCGTTATGGAGAGCCACACAATCTTCTCCCTTGTGGTCATTAGGTTCGTCGTCTTGCCACTTTTCGTAATTCTTCGTGGTCCCATCACTCCATATAAAGGTGCCTTCGTTTTGTTGGTCATGTAGTCCAATCCAATAGGCCTGCATGAGGGGGAAAATTATTACATGCAAATAAGGAAGGCATTTTAAAAAAAGTACTATTATTTAAAATGTTTTTGAACAAAATTAAAGAACACATTAAAGAACAAGACATAAACAAGATGTTGAAGACAGATTGCAATTGAGGAAAAAATATAAACAAATACAATGAAAGTACTTTGAGAACATTGTCTTCATCGGCTGAACATCAGCAAATGTCTATTCTCACTTTCGAAAGTAAAAAGCAAGACTACCCTTAGTTTTTAATATTATATACCCTAAATCTTTGTTGGATTTAATGAGTGCTTTAATACCATTTATGTTTGGGGAAGTCCATTTGAATCTGTATTTATACACGTTATATTTAAACAGCAAAAGGAGTATACGCCAAGTATAATTGGCTTTAAAGGGATGGTTGAGTTTTGGGTTAAAGAGGGCGCTACATAATTATTTGTGTGTGTGAGATAAATAACAAAACTGAGTGTCAAATTTGAAAAAGCATACACTTTTAATGAAAAACAATCATCTTTGTTTGATGTAAATCGGTTCAGAGAAGACTGAAATATCCATAAATATAACCATTTCCATTATTTGTGGAGCCACAAAAATATTCGATAATTTGAACATTCTGTTGATAAAAGAAATAGCACCTTATATTTTTTATTACAGCCAATGCCCATGTTCGTTTTTTGTTGGATTTTTCGTGTAGATCATAATACGCACAACTAGCCGGCGAGTGAATTGTTATTATTTATTCATTAATTAACGGTCACCGTATTTGTTGCAAAGCGTAGCTTAATTAGTACAATTGGATTTAATCAAGATTTCACACATTCTACGGTCTAAACTAACCTTCATATTATTTTTAGGTCCTAAAAGGGCACTAGAAATGTCATAAAAAAGAAAAAGAGCAAAAACCTTTTACTTTAAAGGAATTTGCGGTCTTAAACAAAAGCTCGATCAACTGTCCATTTAACCCTCAAAGATGTTCATAATTATGGGCAATGTAGTTCGTATAATATTGTTTCTCTCTAATATTCCCTACACTGGCTACAAGCCACATAAGATGGCGTCATCATCGAACTCCCAGCCCAGTTTAAGATTATCATTTATTTTATTTCTTCCTGCCGGGCGTCCTTTATCTAGGATCATACCATCTTCGGTGGATATTGTTACAATTAAATCGACCAGATTCTGGCCTTTGCCCTTGCATACGCGTAACCGTTAGATTAACAATGAGAATCTTGTTATTATAGTACCTTTTTATTCGAAAGCCATAAAATGCGCTCTATCTATCTTGTGAAAATGATATTGTTGTATGTTAAATTTTGACAATATTTCGGCATAATTGCTCTTTCGAATAAGGAAGAAGAAGATGTGAAAGGGATAGATGGATTTTGTTGCAGAGGGCTCTACACACAAACTCAAATTGTGAGATAATGAAAAACTGAGTGCCAAATTTGAAAAAATATATATCATTTAAAAGACAAAATCATCTTTGTTTGATCAAAATCGGTTCAAAGACGGCTGAAATATCCATACATATAACCATTTCTAATATTTGTGGTGACCCACAAATATTCAGTAATTTTAAACCAGCCGTTAAAAAATGAAATAGCCCCTCAAACGTTTTATTCCAGCCAATGCCAATATTGGTTTTTTGTAAGCTTTTTCGTGTTGGTTATAATACGCACAACCAGCCGGCCTGTGTATTGTTATATTATTTAATTAATTAACGGTCACCTTTTTGTTTGTTTATAAGATGGAGCTGAATTGGTATGATATTCAATCTAAATTCACATATGTTGGGGTCTAAAATTACCTTCATAGCATTTTTAGGTTCTAAAAAGGCACTAGAAATGTCATAAATAAGAATAACGTGATCATAATAAATGATCAGAGTCATTCTGGGAGAGTCAAGGATAGACAAAACAATTGCTGGCATAGGCCAGAAATAGCGCGCGCCTTTTACAGCTGTTTAAGCGGTGCCTTTGTGAGACAGCGACATGTGAAATTTACCTCTGTAAAGAAACCGAAAATGCGCACAGCCAGTGAATCTACAACGGTGGAGTTATGCGCGCAGTAAGCGTGGGAACGCCGTGTGCAAGATTTTCTCACTTTCGACTTTATCTCCGCTCGGAGAAGTCCTTTTTCCCCGGCCCACCCACCCCTCTTTAGTTTAAGTAGAGTTGAAGAAGTAAACTACTTAAAGTTGATTGAGGATTGACAAATTGGAAGTACAATGTTGTTTTGAGTGATATAACGAATTGTATGTATTTAATATCATGGTAACACGGGGGTTGACTGGGGGAGGATTTCTTTACTCGTGATTATTCCATGGTTGGTTCCGATTATCACCACTTCTTATATATGCGCTGGTATAGTAGCACCGGGATAACATTGGGGATACTGCAGGAGATACTATCCTGTCGGTGGGTCACGTAAACCCCAGGTATCTAGGGTGATCGGAGGGAGTTACTACCCTTCCGCTGATCGCGTGACTCGAGACCCCACAAATATAGTGTTTCCATAACTATGTTATTTATGCATTGATGATTTTGTGAGTATTGAAAAGTTGTGGGGATCATCCGTAGGAGATACTATCCTACCGGCAGGTCACGTAAACCCCAGGGACCTGGGGTGATCGGAGGGAATTACTATCCTTCCGCTGATCGCGTGACTCGAGATCCCACAAATAAAGTGTTTCCATAACTATGTTATTTATGCATTGATGATTTTGTGAGTATTGAAAAGTTGTGGGGATCATCCGTAGGAGATACTATCCTACCGGCAGGTCACGTAAACCCCAGGGACCTGGGGTGATCGGAAGGAGTTACTATCCCTCCGCTGATCACGTGACCGGAGATCCCTACAATTTTGAGTTTCACTCATGGTACATGTATCCTTAAGATTGTTGAATCATATCACGTTTATACATTATTGTCGAATTGTTTATGGTGGACCCTCTTTATTGTGGTTATAAGATTTTGTTATTGCTTTTATGCATGTTACTTGTTTTACTTTGACTTTCCTACTTTACATGTTTTGAGGAAAAGGACTCCTAGTTTCGGAGCGGAATAAATGTCGAGCAAACTGCAAATCAGTCTAAAGTTGTCTTCTTCCTAGAATAAGAAGAATAACCATGCACTTTGGAGGCATTTGCGATCTTAAACAAAAACTAAACTATCCCTTTAAGTTTTTTAGCGAATACGATATCATCGCATCTTGTAAAAAATGTGCGGTATAAAGTGGGGAACAAAATTAAAATTCATTCTTTAAAATTAATTCGTTTAAATCCCGTCTGCACTAGTTTGGCCAGGAGTGATTTGACCTCCCACAATGGTCACTGACAGGTGGTTATCTCATAAACTCAGCTCTCAATTAACATAAGAAAAAGAGGATCACGGGGGAACAACGGGCACCGCTTAGGCATTGTTTTATATATACTGTAGAGGGAGCACGTACCTACAGGTTTTTGCAGTGGGGCTTTAATGCAAATACGGATCTAATGATCGTTCTCATTTTTTTAGTTAAACACAAGAGTACAAAATCGAAGTTAGATTGTCAAAATATGTAGCCCCCTTCCCTTCCCCCTACCGCAGAAAAGAGAGGAAACAAGTTGGAATGTACAATGAACGATTACAATAATTATGAAAAGTGGATGCAAAAATCTGGTCAAAACTGTATTGGTCAAGTTGTATTAGCATCTTCCAAGTTCATATTTTAGAAACACTGGCTCTGGCGTATCCCCTTTTCGGATTTTTTTTGGGTGATTTATTTTTTATTTGATTGCAACCAGAAAAAAAAAAAAAAAAAACAACATCAAACAATATTTTTTTTACAATAAAACAATCAAAATCAGGTCAAACGCAGCTGAACTACATCGAATGTATCGTGTAACGAGTGGATCACGCTCTCTTTTGTCCAACTACCCATGGGCGCCGGAAGTGTGTGTGTGTGTGGGGGGAGGGGGAGGGGAGCACTTGCCCCCCCCCCTACCCCAACCCAAAAAGCAGTAAAGGAGTAAAAAATTGTTTGTATTTTTAACCCAAAATAACATAACAATAATAAAAACCTGAATTAAATCACATATGAAATGCCATTCAAAGAAAAGGAAAGTTAACAGGAATTAAAGTTCCTAAACATTCCGCATGCCACCTGTATTTATCAATGGAGGTTTTTATAGTAGCGATACGCGCATAACGATGAAATATTGTGAGAGGACGGGAAAGCGTGTGTGTTTTTGTTATAGGGGTGAGAAGACATGAGCCCCTGAACGCTGGCGTACTGAAAGGGGGGGGGGTATTTCTTATTCGATATCAGTGATTAAAAAATGATACTGAAATGACGTGGTTTTCCGGTATTTTTTCTCAATCTTCTTGTAATTCATACCTTTTTATGCGTTTGCTAGAAAATTAGAAATTCCCAAATACACAGTCGGGCGAAAAATATGCTTATTTACAAGCCTTCATTTCAGGGCATGCATAACGGCTGGGCTCGGGGGCTCGAGCCCCTTCCACTTAAACAAAAAGTATGTTACATAGAAAAAAAAGAGAAAGAGTGAGAGAGAAAATAAGTGACCTGCCAATGTCACAAATGAGGTATATACATATGCTCATATGACCGTAATTAAATGCGTAAACCTCAGAGCTTCCGGGGGCTCTGGCCCCTGGACCCCACCAAGAGCCCTAAGGCGGGCCCCTGGATGCTCATCTGATAGTAATGAAATACCTCGAACCCCTGAGGTATGAGAAGTGCTCCATTCACCTCTGATAATTGCCCTATTTAAATATGAAAGGCGTTCCTTTTCCTTTGTAAGAAGTGCCACTTCCATTTCTATAATTACTTCTTTTAACTGTTTACATGCGCCCCTTTTCCTTTTTTAATAAGTGCCCTTTGTTTCTTCTAAGTGCCCCCGTTTTCTTTAGAGACCCTTCCCTTTCTCATAAATACCCTTGTTCACCTATGTAAAGTGTCCCTATCATTTCAGAAGTGTCCCTTTTCATCTTTGGTAAATGACCCTTTTTTAACCTCTAATAACTGCCCCTTTTATTTTGACACGTAACCTTTTCCTTTCTAATAAATGCAAGTTTTCCTTCTTATATGTGCCACTTCCTCTTCTAATAATTACCCCTTTTCATTTGTGATAACTTCCCCGTTTGTTTAAACATACTCCTTTTTTTGTTAACAAGAGCCACTTCCCCATATACATGAAAGGCTTCCTTCACTTCCGAAAACGGCCCTATTAAACTCTGATCGGTGCCCCTTTTTTTGCGATAAGTGCCCCCTTTCACCTCTGATAATTTCCCTGTTAACAATAATAGGTGCACCTTTTCCTTTCTTATATTGGACATATCCCTTTGAATAAATGCCCCATTTTTACCTCTGATAATAACCCTTTGTACTTTGACACGTGCTAATTTTCTTTTCTAATAAGTGTCTTTTCCCTTTCGATAAGTGTGCTCTTTTCCTCTTATCATTAAACGTACCCCTAATTTGAAGCGTCTAAGGGCAATTACCCCCAAAGCTCGCTCGCTACGCTCGCTCGCAAATATAGATGATATAATTATGATACTTATGAAAGGTCTGTTCAGTCTTCCGTTGTGATAATGTGCTTATAACCCTATCAGGATTGTTTTCCCCCTCTAGATGTAATTTTCGTACTGCGACGTCAAAAAACTTATTTGTTTGTCTTCGTTCGCTCGCAAATGAATATGATGAGGTATATACCAATGTCTAAACAAAATTATGTTTTCGCTTTGAGATTTCTCTTTGTGGTGGCCCTTTTTTCACTCCAAAAAGTGCACATTTTGTGGTGCACCCCCCCCCCACACTTTGTAAGTCACTCTGCCGCCCCTGCTCTCCACTCTCAACTCCCTTCCGACCCCCTCGTTTTAAATCACATTTTGCAAATAACATCACCCCTCCCTCATACAGCTAAGACAAACAAATACTCCAGGACATCTACAATACTCCATCATCGGCGTAACTCTCATCCACGAAATTCTTCTATGGAGCAAAGACGTATGTACTCTCTTCCAAGCTGCATATTTTCCCAACCTAACCGCCTCTTTTTTTATTAAATTTTGCCACTCACATCACACCTCCCCTATACAGCGACGAACAAAAGATACTCCTCTACTTTATTCACCTTGTCTGAATCGTCAGCGCGACCCTCATCGACGAGACTCTTCCATAAGGTATAGATTTCTGCACTCTCATCCGAGCTGTGGATGCTGACTAAATTCGCCCCAAGAAGGGTGCATGCATCATCTGCATCGTGCCAATCCACCTTGTCGGAGTTGTAATAATAGCACCAGTCACCGACTTGCATGAACCTCTCAGGGCAGCATCCGTTGGACAAGCCTGCGACGGCTGCAAGGAGAAACAGGCTGATAGTGACGTTTATATTCATGTTGCAAACCTGTAGTGGAGATAGAGAGAGATAGAGAGAGAGAAAGAGAGAGAGAGATAACTTAAAAACACGCCTCTTAAAATACATATATATTTATTTCTATATCTTTTTCTTATAATGATTATTTTGTTGTCTGTCATTAGCAATATTTGTTCATGTAAAGCGCATTGAGCAATATTTGTATTGGATTTTGTGCTAAAAAAGGCTAATATTTTAAGAGAGAGAGGGGGAGAGCAATAAAGCAAGCAAAGAAATATAGGGGAGTCAGCAAGAGTTAGAGAGAGACAGTGAGAGAGAGAGAAGGAGTTACAGATAGACACAGAGAGAGAGATAGAGAGTGCTAGCGATAATAATGCCACTTGGTCTAATTCCCATTTGTCTAATTCCAATTAGTCCACTACCCATTAGGTCCAAAATCAGAAGAGTATGAATAAAGATGCCACAACATGATGAAATTACCTATTTTGCCTTCGTATTGTAAAAACGATTTAACTGTTGAAGTCATTAGGTTGTGCTATATTTCAATTATTATCTTTCTGTAATGTCGATAGCCTTTGTAGAGATATAACAGTATATCTTTTCAAAATGAACAAAATATATATATATATGTATTATATGTTATATATTTTGATAAATTTTTACCCGACCAATGTATTAGACACACTTTCCCTTCATCATTACGCAACATCATCAGTCGGTATTCTCTCACTCACAATTTTGACTCTTTTTTGGTTCCTTTTTTCTCTCATTACACAAATCCAAATCTCTTGATACTAGTTAGCGACTCCCATTGAAGTCTGCATACACACAATAAAATTACCAATAAACATAACAACAAGCAGTATATATTTGAATAATATATTTATTTGAGTTACTATATTATTTGAGTAATATAATTAACAATATATATTTGCGTCATTATTTAATGCAGAATCAGAAGTGCATTTGACAAAATATAAATCATCTATGAAAAGTCAAGGAAGATAATATTATCCTTGTCAATTCCGGGTAGATAATATTATTTGTGTCAAGTCAACAAGGCCGATAATATTATATTTGTCAAGTCAACAAAGGCAGATAATATTATCTTTGTCAAGTCAAGGCATATAATGTTACCTTTTCAAGTCAAGGCAGATACTATTATTTTTGTCACGTCGAGGCTGATTATTTAATCTTTGTCAAGGCAGTTGGTATTGTCAATGTCAAGTCAGATCCCGTTGACAATTAGAAAGACGATGCGGGTTCACTTCGCAGCTGCTTGACGATGATCAACTTGAATTGCAGACTGATCCGCAATCCCTTTTTATGTAAGGTCCAGCTCGCTGGTCAGTCACCGCAGGTGCCGCAGTCATGTTTTCAAGTTCTGATTCTGATGCGTTTGAAAGATATGAAGTTAAAAGTCTGGAAATCTGGGGGAACCTTCTCTTTCGAAGAAAATACAAATGTGACGTACGCCTCTATCGGTTATTTGCCGACTGATTAAAGAAATCAATAATAACCAACAAGTCTATTAAAGTTGACTTATAAATTGTCATATAGCTTTTTTACTATCTAGACGTTCGCAGCGACGCATGCTGTTTGGCCGCAAATGTCCGGCTTGCCAGAATGTATTTTCAAGTGCGGATTAAGACTAGCTTGAAATACCCAAAGTCTGTGGTCAGTACGGTGGTACGTGTGTGTATTTTACGGCGTAGATTTTAGTTCATGTTGTTGCAGCGGCATGATATGTGTCAAGTGTGTGTGATACCGAGGGGGTGGGGGGGGGGGGGGGTGAAGGATTGGAACCCATCGGCAAAGCCCCATCAGGACACTAATTCAAGTACTTACATAGGTCTAAAGTAGCTGACGATTGATTGTATGTTTTTAATATAGCCGATAATAGATAGGCCTCTACAGTCGGACCGGAGCGTGCGCGTACACTGTCGCTCATAAAGTTGGAATATTTTTGTTTTACCCCAATTTATATAATTATTTTAATAATAATGTAAAAATAATAGATCTAGATAATAGTATACATTATCAGATTTTATTGAATAATAATTTGACAATGTGTGTTTTGCTTAACTGCTAAGGCATGTGTATGCTACTATGCTAATCGACTAGGGGACCTACGCCCTTAAGTCATAAATGACAGTAATGAGGATTAATGCCCCACAAAAGGGCACTAATCTAGCACATCGACACGGTTTTGATCTTGGGGCCTCACAGTTACGAGGCCATTGCTTTGTCACTGAACCATGACTTTTCGCAGCGGGGGCTAGGGTAGGGGGCAGTTTCCATAAATAAAAAAAAACACAGAAAATGTAATACATTTTCAATAATTTATTGCATTTTATCCCGGTTCCCAACATTAACAAACCCTCTGTGTGCCCATGCCTTAATATATCATTGGTGAAGTGTAGTGTTATTAACGTTGAAATCAATAATTTAAAGAACAGTTTCTGTGAAAAGGACTGCAAAGATTTTTTGAAATTATGTTATATTGTTAAGGATCTATTCCGCTCTGCTCGAATTGTATTTTCTGGTATTTTACCTAGATGGGAAGATCACTTTCTGTATAAACGCAGTATAATATATAAATAATAATAATAAATCTCTGTATTTCCCGTCGTGGATAAAAGAATGATTTTTCCAATTAAACATGTTATAAATCAAGGTACATGGATAGAAAACTCCCTATTCCAAAACAAAAAGTTGATGCAAAACAAAATGTTGTTTTCATTCAAAATGTCAAACTTCAAAAAAGGTTTCCCAAAGTATTGGTCACAAAGTTTACGTTTAAAAAAGGCTTCAAGTGTCAATGAAACAATGTATATTGAGACAACTTTAGATGCTATAAACTTTGTATGTACTAAAGCGAAAGGTTACGTTAATTTAATGCTAGAAAAGAAAAAAAGAGAAAGTTGGTTTCCATTTTTGGCGAAATATTTTAGGCCTACCAGATACATTATTTGGAAAGATGTATTTCAGTTCAAACTTAATAAGATAAGAGACAATAATATCAAACAATATAATTTCAATTTAATTGATAGAATATTGCCCTCTAATAACAATCTCTTTACATGGACGCTCGTACAGTCTAACGAATTTGAAATTTGCCGTGAAAAAGAAACTATGGGGCATGTAAGATTTAGTTGCAAGAAATTAGTTTTCTGGAAACTCTTCTCAAGAATGATATATTTCATTATTAAAATCGAAATCGAAATTGATATGAAAATGTTATTTATTGGATGTAATATAAATAAAAATTTACTTAACCTATTTTTTTGATAAATTATGCACAACTGGTATTATACAAAGATTAAGTAAAGCGGAACTTTGGGAATTACCAAACAATCCGAAGAAGTTAATAAATATCTTGTTTTCATCACTGAAATGTTATTTGAAATACAAAAGAAAATATAAGATACTTTGATAATGAAGAAGTTAAGAAAATAATATAAATGTTATAATGATCATTTTAATAAATTATGTTAATCTTATGTATAATACGTATGTTTCATTTGACCCGTTTTGTAAATAGTCTATAATGTATTTGAAATGGAATAATAAAGTCCCTCTGAAGAGGTAAAGAGAAAAGAAAAGAAAAATTAATAGAAGTTAACTGAATGGGCCTGTTTCCTTTACAGCAAATAGTACAATGGGTGAATTAAGCCCTTCATTCAGCGTGTAATTATTCTTTACAATATCATAATGAAAATAATAACAATAATAATCATAATAGTTATAGTGATAATAATTATATGTCTCGTTTACCGTGGGTAGCCCCATTAGTACAAATACTTTGGGCCCTGCAATCGTATTATTAACCCGGCTCTAAAAATGACTCACACGTAAAATTCAAATCTTCTTCGCTTTAAAAGTTACCAATCGAGATTTGTTATGAAATCAATGCCTACTGTATGAAACCATGAGGAATATTTGACTTTATAGTTAATGGGTTCAACTTCATAATGATGATAAAAATTAACCGATGTTGTATAGCGTTTATCAAATCATGATATAAAGTTCCATCCGCTTCCAAAGAAGTTGGAATATCATAAGCCTGCCCCTTAGCTATGGCAGCCGTAATAAGATTCGAACCCTCAACCCTTGGACAAATAGTCAAGTGAATAAACCACTATACCACGACACTTTTCCTGTGGATCAGACTCCTTCTTGAACACTTACAGGTAATGCACTAAACATTAGTATTTTTCATATGATGATATTAAATTGAGTTATACCCAAGATTGTTTATAAATTATATATTCCCCTTTATCTATACGGATATATACATATATATATATATATATATATATATACACGGTATATTTATCATTTTAACACATAGTTTTACTTTATTGACACCATATTCTAAGGGCAAATTCAACTTTAAAGGGAAAGTTGAGTTTTGGTATAAAGGGGGCTACACACAATATTTTGTTGAAAGATAATTTGAAAGAGGATATAATATTAATGACAACATTATCGTTGTTTGATCAAAATCGGTTCAAAGACGGCTGACATATCCATAAATATAACCAATTTGTTTGCCAGCCTTTGGATGGCCTTAGGCGCTCTTTGAAATATTTCAAATTTAACGGAAGCACAGGTAAATTTTGGTTATTCAATTTCTCGAAAGCAGAAATGTTTTAGGGGCTAAATTTTCTAGCGCTTATAAAAAATCTCCAGGGACATCCAAATATATCAACATTTTGAAGAATTATTATCGATCCAATTTTCAAAATTTCACGAAACTTTGTATTACCTTTAAGCTCATTTTCATCTATTCCTTCCCCTATCTCATTCCTCTCTGTCTGTCTGCCTCTCTCTCTCTCCCCTCTCTCTCTCTCTCTCTATCAGTATGAATATAACATGCTTACCTTTTGAAAAGTTGTTATGAGGAGCAATGCGACCGTGTCTTGGTATCTTGGTATCTATCTAGGTATCTGGTATCTTGGATCTTGTGGTCCTCCTAAGTATTACGCGAGGGAATTTTATACTGAACGTATGGTTGA